CCTTCACAATCACATGACATTGTGCACTTCATCTGTTCATTACTGTTGCATGTCGCTGAATTAACATGGCCACTGACTGCAGATACACAGAAAAGCAAAGCAAAAGTATATCAAGTGCGCAAGTGCTTATAGCCTATGACTATTCAAGTCGACAGCGTCTAATAAAGTGTATAGGAACTGCCTGTGTTCGAGAATTTTCTCGATTTAAACCTGTTTATAAGTCAAATTGCAGACTTGGTTCAAATTTAATCACCTGCTTATTTAATCACCTGCTTGTCAATGCTTGTCAATGCTTGTCAATGCAACAAAAGCGAACGACTAAATACACGAATAGCGTTTTTCAAAAAATTAATTCGGAACTCGGAAAGGACAGACTATTCTTCAATTTTGAACAAAAGACTAAATAGGTATAAAACCCAATTTATATTTTGAACCTCAAATAAGTAGTGATTGTGTCCGTCTTATGTTCCAATAGTTTAAATCTACATGTAGTTTATATTATAAGGCAATGGCATCTTTCAAAATCCGAATTCCACAAATGCTCATATATGGCCCATGTATCATTTATTTTAGTAAACGAAGGTCATATAAAGAATGAGATAAATTCATATGTTTTTTTTAAACAAAATATCATTCTCTTAAAATGTTATTTTTCATATTTTATCAATTTTTTTTATTTAGGCCTATATTATTTATTAGTAATAAAAGTGATGATAATTCAACAACATTCTCGCTTTTGAGAGGTTCTGGTCAGTCCAACGAATGGAGGCAATATAACGACGATTGACTACAATCAGCATATGGAAAAGGGTGCAAAGTGCGATGATTCTTGATTTATTTGTGTTGGACTGTATATTTATTGGAATGAAACGCATCATTGTTATATTTATATTGTTAGAACTTATCATTTCAAATCAGATGTGCGGTTGATTTGGAACATTGATGACAACTCACACAGGAGGAGCTTTTTGTTTTATAAAGATGCATCTTTTGACATTGCTGTTTGGAGTGACTCTTGTCTTCATGGTTGGCAGTTCACAAGGTAAATATAGTGATGGTGATGGTAAACAAGTCAATAACATCAAAATAATTATCAAAATGTGTATAATACCTAGTTAATGTCATACAAAATATTGTAAAAATTAGTTAGTGTATAACAAAAAGCATCATCGTACAATACCTTTATTTTAACTGTTGAAAAGACAAGGGCATTATTTGAAAGTATGACTAAGCATAGCATAAAATCAAATTACAAAATGTCAAAAGATACATATATAATATTTTATTACTTTGTTTTTTTCAGTTTGTAATTTCAAGCATGATAAGCAAAAAGTTCTGGCCTGGATGTAAAATTCAAACAAAGTCATATTTAGACTAAATCATACATCATGAGATACCTCCCCACTGAGAGTTTGTTTGCCCAACCACCAAATATATTAGACACATGCCCAGGTTTCATTTTGTTGAAATAAATAAATGTCTTAAAACGGGCTCAATCTGGCTATAAAGCAATCTTAGAGGAACTGGGTGGTTAAATTTAGTAATTTTCATCTTGGAATATTTTCTGAATTGAAACAAATAGACCTACACTGCCAATCTTAAACAGCATCAAACAGCGCTGTTTATGAAACAGCGCTGTAAAAACAGTACTGTACCATGCTGTTCAAAACAGATGATGTTAGAATGCAGTGCTCGAACTGCAATGTTTACAGTGCTGCAAGATGATGTTGCAGATTGGGGGTGTTAGATTATTCCTGTTAATTTAGGTGGTTTCAACCTCAAAATCAACACTAAATGAAGCACTATCAAGTTTACATATTGTAAACCGGAATTGAAAAAAAACTTACCGTTTCCCAACAAAACAGGGTAGTTGGTTTAGTCGATTAGTCATGGCGCATCCGGATTTTTTCAGAAATTCTTCTGTATTGTGTGTGAAGGTTAGAATAATGTAATCCGTTCCTGGCTTCACAGCCTCAATTCTGGATCTTCTCTTCGTTCTTCTTGAATTTGTTGAGCTGGCTTTAAGACCATTATTTTCATCGTGTTTTAAGTTTTCATTTTTCTTTCTCTCCTTCATTGCATGCATTATCAAAAATACCATAATGAAAAGACCGCTTAGACCAACTCCTAGCCAAAGTACACTCGATTGTGGTATCCCATGTTGATAAATGATATCACTAGTTAACAAATGGTATCACAAAATGAGAAATGGTGTCACAAGTTTAAATAGGCCTATTGTATATTCCATCTTTAACAATATTCAATGGAAGTCATGGTCTATTAATGTTTTATGTTTTAATGTAAGATTTATATTCACTCTGCACAATTGAACTAACTGAATATGTAATTCCCAAAATATGTTGTTTGATGTGGTTCTGCCCTAAACACATGTACATAGAGATAAATGTAGTATGACTGTAGCACAATTTATTTTATAGCTATTTATATATTTTTTGCTAATCGGAAAATGCACCAAAATTAGCAGAGTCTTACTCAAGTATGTCATATGATAAAAGCAATTTTGGTGAAATCAGTCAATTTTGATTTCTCCAAAATGGTGGAATATGACATGTTTATCTTGTGATGAAATTTTGGTGTGATTTTCATAACATGTATTCAGAGTGTTTGCAGACAATAGTTTGAGGCCTGATATAGCTAAAATATATTTTCATGACATGGTGTACCAATAGGTCTAGCAGACCTCAAACTCTTGTAACATAATGAAAGATGGAGCCTGAAAGCAAATATCATAGTGTTTTGTTGAGTTTTTGACAAACATGAATGTTGGTAGATGGAAAAATCGAATTGAGTTTGTTGAAAATAGCTACAATCTATGCCAATAGATGGCAGAGTACATAACAAGTATTTTTTCGAAATCATCAAAATTTGTGTGATATAAAATGCAATATTAGAAACAGTATTTATATGTTACTAATACTGTAGGGAAAGACATACTCCAACCAGCTATAGCAAGTCACCAATCCCATTGCCAAACTATAAATGGAAAAGCTGAAAAGTATTAAAAGTGTGTTTCCAATAATACAATTGCACACAAGATATTTTAATGAATGTCTTTAATAACTTTATCAGTTATTAATAGGATTAAGGTCTTCTTGTCTGTACTCTTATAACTAAAATGAAAACTAAAATTGAAAGAAAACAATGGTCTATCATAAATGTCATTAGATTTGCTTCTTCTGTTATTTTATGGTTACCAATACAATATACCTGGTATTATTACCTTGTTTGCCAACACTATATGCTGATGACTAACATTTTGTTGTATTTGTCAGTATTGTTCACAATTTTGCAAGTGTATGTGTAGGTGGTAAAATATTAAGATTGTAAAATTCTGTACATTTGAAATGTATATAGTAATTTTATAATTGTACATAGTCGCAATGTGATGGTTGTATCATGTGTTAGATTCTAAAACAAAATTATTGCGAACAATTTCAATAATATGGTTGATGGAATATGTTTATTGGGTATCATGAGAGATTATACAATTATAATACATCTGAAATACAAATATATGTTGGGAACACAAAACAAAATGAGTTGAAATGTTCAAAATACGAATACAGGGAAGTATCAAAACGATTCAATGCCTGGTTAAACCATGTGCTAAAGAATTATATTTTTATATTGTCAAGTCATGGTATCATCGGGTCCTAGCGTATAGTATTATCGGGTCCTATCGTACTGTATCATCGGGTCCTATCGTACAGTTTCATGGCTAAGCAAGAGGCTTGGATAAAAGTGAAAAAAATAAATAATTATCCAATAAAGCATTACCATTACAGAGTGAGAAAGTTCAGGTTGTCCAGTGAGTATAGCTTTAAATAATGTGAGTCAACAACTGACTATTAAGAGAAATCACCATTGATTTTGGTTTTCCCCAGTTTCAGGAGAAACAATTTTTTTGATCTGAAAGTGTTATACAGTCAAGACGCCAAAAACATGCAAAATTCCGAATGAGATAAAATAAAAAAATGATAAAATTATATTTTAACCAAAACCTGATAAAAAAGAATCATATGATAGTGTGTAATTGATCGACGAAATGATTTTAGTATATTCCCTCGATTTTCCTTATCTAGCAATATCTAAACCAATGCTGTTTTCACACTATTTCCCGAAAATGTGGCAGTCGCTATTTGTTTTATTATATACCTCATATGTACTCTGTAAACAAAAAATCAAATCAAAAGAGTTTTGATTTCAACATTTAATGCTTATAGGTTCTTATTGGCATTTAAAGGCATTTGTCATTCCTATAAATCACATCTAGCAGGGAAGATAATATGTACTAATGACTGGTCACATGACCTAACTGGTGATTGGTACATTTTATCTTCACCATTAGCTAGGACTTTCCAGGGATTTAGTTCATCTATTTCATATCATGTGACCACGAATAAGCTAATGAGCATCTAGAATACATATGGGGTATATAATAATATCAGATGTTTCAATGGTAAATATGACTTATGGGGACAATTGAACTGATTTTGTATCAGAATTTAACGTTACACTATTTTTCATAACAAAATATCTTTCTGTCTTCATCTAGAAATATGCCTTCTAGAAAAAAGGTAATAGAATGATTTGGGCAAGCAGGTCCTTTCAACTACAAACCGAACAGGTTTGCATTGTGACAAGCCTTGTACCACCATGCTTTATAGGTCATCGCACAATTTAATATATCACTCTGGTCATTATCTTGATCATAGGTTTAACAAGACACAGTGAAAATGCAAGAGCAAAATGGTGACTATGTACTTTACCCAACATGCCCAAAAACCTAGTCAGATCTTGGCACTAGTCTGCTCTTGCATCTGTAAAAATTTAAAGTTGAACAGGTTAAAGGTTTTCCTTGGATTTTGATAACAAGAATTGATTTGTAGTTTCGAACTTTGAGAAACCTAGATACTAGAATAGTCCAATCGTTTGTGACCCAAAAGTCAAATTCCTGCAAATTAGTTTGATGCATGTCAGTGCATTTATCAAATAGACATATAGCCGTTTTTGAAATATGTCTAACGAGTAATTGCTAACAATTGTTATTCAGTAATTTATTTCACAAAATAATGAACAGAATATTTGAGTAGAATTTAACAGCAATGTATCTTCAATGACGCCTTCTTAAATGAGTAGTGCTGATTATTAGGGGATGCAATTTTCGTCGGCCATTTATACCATGCGACACATTGGGCATAGCTTGGACATTCTGGTCCTTTCGCATACAGACCAAACAGGTTAGAATTGTGGCACCCAGCGTACCACCACGCTCCTTTGTAAAGGCTCGCACAATTTGCAGTGGAAATATCATTATCTTGATCGAAGGTCGAAAACTGTTGTCCATTTTGAGCTTTAATTGAATCACCAGCTGTTCCACTGTATCCACCAATGGTGAGACGGTACTTGTCGGTCTTGTCAGTGATGGAGAAATCTGAATATTCAGCAAATCGTTTAGCCGGTGATACAAGGGGCCATGCTTCCAAATCAATTCGCACTTTGCACTTACGGCCCTTTACAAAACTGGCAAGGTTATCCAATCCAATGAAATGTTCATCTTCTGTTTTACCAAAGCCATGTTGATACTCAACCCAAGTGCGATAGAAATCCTCTGAGCCGTCAAATCGTTTAAATGCGTAGGTCCAACCCTGGTCACAATACGCATTAAATATTTTGCCTTCTCCTGTTTTGATGTTTATTACACCAGTGAATGAGGGATCGGCGCAACAATCGGTCAAATATTTAGCTGCAAAACATCAATCATAGAGTAAACCATGAGAAGTTTACTTGGGCTGACGTTAACGAAGAAATGGACTTCATCATTAAGAACTTAATCAGAGTCGTGGCGTCCTAACTGCGCTGCCTCGGCGACGAAATATGGTCTCCGAGCACGTCAAGATCGCCATAAGCGTGGAGAAAAAAGTCGTGAATGTCGTGAGACAAGTGTGGTAAAATTGCCATGAACGTAGTACACGCGGTACACATGTGGCAAACGTGGCAAAGACGTTGCAAAAATTGTAACATTTGCAAGGGCGGCTCCATGGCGACAACGGCCTTCGCGGTCAGCTACGAGCCGACCAACTCGGCGTTCAGATCTTTATAGAAACGCCATAAGCGCAGATAGGTCGTGACGGACGCACCTTGGGGAAATGTTTGTAACTTTTGGGACATATCTCGTTTTGTGTGAACGTTTGCCGGTTACCTCGTACATTTTCTGGACGCCATACGGTCGCAACAGTGCAGTAAGGACGTCACCACGGTCTGACTCAATCAATTCAACTGCTATATGAACTAACCAAGGAAATGACAAAAATAGAGTGGTGGCTCTTCATTGGACATATTAGAATATATTGATATTTATTTCCTAATCCTGACATAATTAAATGAGCATTCATCAATAAGAGGGCAGTTGATTTTGTACTTTTATTCAGCACAGGCACATGATTAAAAGTTTGAAACAATATAACAGTTCGAATTTACATGTCCACTGACTGCAGAGACACAGTTAAACAAGAAATCTAATACTATATAAAGGAACTATCCCTTACCTTCACAATCACATGACATTGTACACTTCATCTGTTCATTACTGTTGCATGTCGCTGAATTAACATGGCCACAGACTGCAGATATACAGCAAAAACAAATAAATGTCTATCAAACATTATTTCATTTCCAAACTCGGAGAGCATAGCCAAACAAGACTATATTCTTTAACTGAGCCAAACTATAATCTGCAAAATAAAAACTGAATTGACAAAAAGATCAGTGACATATTCTGGTGCTATTTTATGGAATTCTTTGCCAATTGTATTTCGAACATGTAAAACTTTGAATTCTTTTAAACACAACATTAAAAAGGACCTTTTGGAAAAGATGAATGGAAATACTATATAAGATCACATTCCATTTAAATTAATTATTTATATCCAGACTTCAAAGTTTCTGTATTGCATCTAAACAATTTAGATAATGTATGTTATACTGTTATATATTATATGTTTTGTGATTGCTCTGCAATAATTTTTGATATATGCACTGATACGCCCAATTACTAAGGGTGTCGAGTGCACATGCTTTGTACATTCCATTGTTATGAGAAGAGAAACGATTAAAAAATCAATTAGAATGTCATTTTTTACGGTTGCCATATTTACCTTGTGAGTGACCAACCATGAAGACAAGGATCGATCCAAACAGCAATGTCAAAAGATGCATCTTTCTAAAAGCTCCTGTATGAGTTGTCATCAATGTTTGAATCCAACTGCGCGTCTGATTTGAAATGATAAGTTCTAACTATATAAATGACAATAATGGGTTTCAGAGCTTTACGAATAGAAAGTCACGTAGTCTAGCATCACGTCACTTTGTTCCATTCTACAGGTTGGGTAAAAAAACGCGTTTATTTTCTTCTTTTTCCTGAAAAACACGTATTATATGACCCCGGGATGATAAAGATATAAATCCTTCGATAATCTATAGAATATTCTATATGTTCTATATACAGGGTGGTCAAAAAATGGAAACACTTGCACCATTTTCCTCATATCTTTGTCATTTTAAGAAATAACTAACTGCTATTTTGCCCATTTGTACATCATTCAATTTTCTACCAGCCTACTATATTTCATGACCATCAGAGTGATAGTCACAATGTTATGGCACTTTAGAGAACATGCCACAGTGGCCACTATTGCGCTTGAGGCAAACCTACACACGTAGTCCAAAATGGCCCTACCTGTGGACAAAAAAAGAGTGAATGAGAATAACCTCAAGACTATGGCAAACCTCAAAAGTGAGATCATCGATGTCATTCAGGCCATACCTGCTGAGGAATGCATTCGGGCAACTGTGCAGGTTTGACTACAGTGCGATTATTCTTTGTATTCCGGTGTGAAAGAAATGATGGTCCCCATGAATTATGGCCCCCTTTCTTAACGGCCCTTACTGGCCCTGATTGCGTATAAGAAAATGATGGAAAGAGTTGTATTAACGTCACCATATAAATCAATGGAGAGTAGGACCATAATTTGATAGGACCTCCTACCCTTTTACACCGGAAAATAATAAAAATAGATTGAGTTTAGCTGTTCTCAGGCCGTAAATTCTTGTTTTTTGAGAGAAGCACTTTATATACAATATTTCCAATGAATACTTTTGGTATGTGGCAATGCACTGATACATCTTTTACCCTATTAATTAATGTTAGACAATTATAATAAATAAGTATAAGAAAGAAAAATGAGTTTCTGGCCCAGCCTGTATTTGGATGCTTATCAACGCCACATATTGACTTCGTACGTTGAATTAACACTATAAAGCTTGAATGATATCGCATTATATTCATTTTATTGCTCGTTTTTTAATGCAATATAAAATTGTAAAAGTATATAACAATATTCACTTTATTTAATGTTTTTCAATTGTTTAAAATGCAATGTGAACTCTACTGTTAGTATCGATAAGCACATCACGAAACAACATTAAAACATAGTCAAAAGACTTAATAGTTTATATTACAATACGTTATTACTTTGTTTTTCTGGTTGTAATTTCAATTGTGTTAAAAATGCTAACATGTTTCCCCCACGTAAGCCTGGATGTGAAATTCAAATAAAATTACACTTGTGATAAACTTGTCTTACCAGCCTGTAGTATTGAATTAATACTAGTTCTAAAGATTAGAATCGTTATCTAAATATTTAAATATTATAACTATAGCTTGCTTTTCATTATAATCATAATCAAAAATCAGCCCCTGGGACCAAATCACCTATGGCTACTAAGTATATACATTAAATCATATACTCAGTAGTAAAATATAAATCTCTTACTGATGGACGATACATATCCATGACAAGGTCCTCCAAAAATAGCCAAATGGGAAGACAAGTAAAGACTTGTCCAAAACACAGCAGTTAAGGCAGTACAAGACCAAGATTTACGTCAAAGAAGGAAGAAATGTCCCCTAGAAGCCATCTTTCCCTTTAATCCAATCTAACATTCTTTCCAAGGCACTGGCTGGCCTCTTCCAGAAACTCGTCTTCCCACAGGAGATAGTAGCTATCACGCTCCGTTTTGACATGTTGCTATCCACTAGACAAGTGTTATCCACTAGAATGGAATCTCCACTACTTAGAATATGTGAGTAAATGTTCAACCCACTACGTATCAGGGTATGGTAGAGGCATTGTTTCATTGTTCAGATGTGGAGACTACAGTCGATGAGCTGTTAATAGATACATTATCCCAACACAATAATGGATAAATTAAGGAACAGTAAATAGTTTTTAAACTTTTATATTAAGGAAGTCTTTAACTATGAATTTACTCCAAACGTTTTTTAAATATTAGTTTCAACATAGTTAATTAATAGTGATCTTTCAATGATAATTTTCATCAATGAGTGTTCCAAGTAAATTACAAACAGATTTATTTTTCAAGTAAGACATTATTAATCATGAGATATATTTACTATAATCTATGTCTTCTTGAGCGTTCTTTTTGTGACAGCACCAATTAAAAAGTTTCGTGGCTCTAACTGGAAGAATTTGCTCACACGATGAGCATACAAATGTGTGCGTTATAGAGGTAGAAATGTACAAAATACTAGTGATGATTAAACATCAACAAATGCATTTTATTGTGTTTTGATACAGAAAATTTGACCCAGAATCTAACAGCAATGTATTTTCATGGATGCCTCTTTGAACGAGTACATATGATTGTGGGGTGTTCCAATGAGTGTAGGCCAGTCGTGCCATGCAACGCACTCGGCATTTCTCGGGCAATTTGGTCCTTGCGCATACGAACCAAACAGGTTTGCATGGTGACAGGCATTGTACCACCATGCTCCTTTATAATGCGCCGCACAATTAAATGTATCGGACTTGTCATTATCCTGATCATGGGTTGAAAAGGGTTGATCATTGTGGGGTATTATCATTGAATCACCAGCTGTCCCACTGTAGCCACCAATGGTAAGACGGTACTTATCGTTCTCGTCGGCGACATTGAATATTGAATATTCGGCAAATCTTTTAGCTGGGGATACGGGAGGCCATGCTTTCAAATCAATTCGCACTTTACACTTACGCCCCTTCACAAAACTGGCAAGATTATCCAATCCAATGAAATGTTCACCATCTGTCTTACCAAAGCCATGTTGATACTCAACCCAAGTGCGGTAGAAATCCTCTGAGCCGTCAAATCGTTTGAATGCGTAAGTCCAACCCTGGTCACAGTATGCGTTGAATATTTTCCCTTCACGTGTTTTGATGTTTATTACACCAGTGAATGAGGGATCAACGCAACAATCGGTCAAATATTTAGCTACAAAACATCAATCATGGAGTAAACCAGAAGTTTAGTTGGGCTGACCTTCAAGAAGAAATTAACGGACGTTATCATAAAGTTTTAACCCCGTCAGAACCGTGGCGTCCTTACTGCGCTGCAACGGCGACGGCGTTCTCCAATGCCGAACTGGTTCTAAACTATGTGCAAATGCACGTAGATGCAACTTTCTACGGTCTATTTCCGAACTTCATGGACGTTCTCATGCGACAACAATGTATTTATAATTTTGAACCATTTCAAAATTTTGATGGCGACCGTACTTCAAACGAGTGAGCTACTAGATATAGACTACAATCGTTATTGCCGTACTTCGACCCTACCATGGACGCGTTAACGACGTTGTGCAATCGAATGCCAAATGCAACTTATGTGTGCACACAGATATGATGCAACCTGAACGAACTGCGACTGAGGTGGACGTATTAAAGACTGTTTATGAACGAAGTAGGTAATTATTTTAGACATTTCCCGACCACAGCCATTTAGCCCGTCTTACGACTTTTTGACTGGAAAGAACGGTTGGGAACTAGTTTAGTGTGATAGGGGGCTATGTAAAGTTTGTTTTGTTTAGCATTAAAAATAAATGAAACATAAACATAAAAGTTTGCCGGCGACCTTGTGGATTTTCTGGTGGCCATATGTTCGCACCAGCGCGGTAAGGACGGCAACGCGGTCTGACGGGGCCATTAGTAACAATGTATAGCCCTTTTCATAGTATTTTCTGTTTTGGGTTTTGTGTTAGTTGATTTAACTGTTAAACAAGGGCATGACAAATAGAGTGACGGCTAATCATTGGACATGTTTTGATATTTTGTTCCCGATTCTTACCAATAGAAAAAGGCAGTTGATTTTGTGCTTTTATTAGGTGCAGGTGCAAGATAAATAGTTTGAAAGTGTAAGAGTCCGAATTTTTCAGTGGTTCAGTCTAATGATGTAGAGGAACTATTAATTATATTATATATTATATTATTATATTATATATCACCTTCACAATCACATGACATTGTGCACTTCATCTGTTCATTACTGTTGCATGTCGCTGAATTAACATGGCCACTGACTGCAGATACACAGAAAAGCAAAGCAAAAGTATATCAAGTGCGCACGTGCTTATAGCCTATGACTATTCAAGTCGACAGCGTCTAATAAAGTGTATAGGAACTGCCTGTGTTCGAGAATTTTCTCGATTTAAACCTGTTTATAAGTCAAATTGCAGACTTGGTTCAAATTTAATCACCTGCTTATCTAATCACCTGCTTGTCAATGCTTGTCAATGCAACAAAAGCGAACGACTAAATACACGAATAGCGTTTTTCAAAAAATTAATTCGGAACTCGGAAAGGACAGACTATTCTTCAATTTTGAACAAATGACTAAATAGGTATAAAACCCAATTTATATTTTGAACCTCAAATAAGTAGCGATTGTGTCCGTCTTATGTTCCAATAGTTTAAATCTACATGTAGTTTATATTATAAGGCAATGGCATCTTTCAAAATCCGAATTCCACAAATGCTCATATATGGCCCATGTATTATTTATTTTAGTAAACGAAGGTCATATAAAGAATGAGATAAATTCATATGTTTTTTTTTAAACAAATTATCATTCTCTTAAAATGTTATTTTTCATATTTTATCAATTTTTTTTATTTAGGCCTATATTATTTATTATTATACACATTTTGATAATTATTTTGATGTTATTGACTTGTTTACCATCACCATCACTATATTTACCTTGTGAACTGCCAACCATGAAGACAAGAGTCACTCCAAACAGCAATGTCAAAAGATGCATCTTTATAAAACAAAAAGCTCCTCCTGTGTGAGTTGTCATCAATGTTCCAAATCAACCGCACATCTGATTTGAAATGATAAGTTCTAACAATATAAATATAACAATGATGCGTTTCATTCCAATAAATATACAGTCCAACACAAATAAATCAAGAATCATCGCACTTTGCACCCTTTTCCATATGCTGATTGTAGTCAATCGTCGTTATATTGCCTCCATTCGTTGGACTGACCAGAACCTCTCAAAAGCGAGAATGTTGTTGAATTATCATCACTTTTATTACTACCTAGTTAATGTCATACAAAATATTGTAAAAATTAGTTAGTGTATAACAAAAAGCATCATCGTACAATACCTTTATTTTAACTGTTGAAAAGACAAGGGCATTATTTGAAAGTATGACTAAGCATAGCATAAAATCAAATTACAAAATGTCAAAAGATACATATATAATATTTTATTACTTTGTTTTTTTCAGTTTGTAATTTCAAGCATGATAAGCAAAAAGTTCTGGCCTGGATGTAAAATTCAAACAAAGTCATATTTAGACTAAATCATACATCATGAGATACCTCCCCACTGAGAGTTTGTTTGCCCAACCACCAAATATATTAGACACATGCCCAGGTTTCATTTTGTTGAAATAAATAAATGTCTTAAAACGGGCTCAATCTGGCTATAAAGCAATCTTAGAGGAACTGGGTGGTTAAATTTAGTAATTTTCATCTTGGAATATTTTCTGAATTGAAACAAATAGACCTACACGGCCAATCTTAAACAGCATCAAACAGTGCTGTTTATGAAACAGTGCTATAAAAACAGTACTTTATCATGCTGTTCAAAACAGGTGATGTTAGAATGCAGTGCTCGGACTGCAATATTTACAGTGCTACATGATGATGTTTCAGATTCGGGGTGTTTGATTATTCCTGTTAATTTAGGTGGTTTCAACCTCAAAATCAACACTAAATGAAGCACTATCAAGTTTACATATTGTTAACCGGAATTGAAAAAAAACTTACCGTTTCCCAACAAAACAGGGTAGTTGGTTTAGTCGATTAGTCATGGCGCATCCGGATTGTTTCAGAAATTCTTCTGTATTGTGTGTGAAGGTTAGAATAATGTAATCCGTTCCTGGTTTCACAGCCTCAATTCTGGATCTTCTGTTCGTTCTTCTTGAATTTGTTGAGCTGACTTTAAGACCATTATTTTCATCGTGTTCGAAGTTTTCATTTTTCTTTCTCTCCTTCATTGCATGCATTATCAAAAATACCATAATGAAAAGACCGCTTAGACCAACTCCTAGCCATAGTACACTCGATTGTGGTATCCCATGTTGAAAAATGATATCACTAGTTAACAAATGGTATCACAAAATGAGAAATGGTGTTACAAGTTTAAATAGGCCTATTGTATATTCCATCTTTAACAATATTCAATGGAAGTCATGGTCTATTAATGTTTTATGTTTTAATGTAAGATTTATATTCACTCTGCACAATTGAACTAACTGAATGTGTAATTCCCAAAATATGTTGTTTGATGTGGTTCTGTCCTAAACACATGTACATAGAGATAAATGTAGTATGACTGTAGCACAATTTATTTTATAGCTATTTATATATTTTTTTGCTAATCGGAAAATGCACCAAAATTAGCAGAGTCTTACTCAAGTATGTCATATGATAAAAGCAATTTTGGTGTAATCAGTCAATTTTGATTTCTCCAAAATGGTGGAATATGACATGTTTATCTTTTGATGAAATTTTGGTGTGATTTTCATAACATGTATTCAGAGTGTTTGCAGACAATAGTTTGAGGCCTGATATAGCTAAAATATATTTTCATGACATGGTGTACCAATAGGTCTAGCAGACCTCAAACTCTTGTAACATAATGAAAGATGGAGCCTGAAAGCAAATATCATAGTGTTTTGTTGAGTTTTTGACAAACATGAATGTTGGTAGATGGAAAAATCGAATTGAGTTTGTTGAAAATAGCTACAATCTAACCCCTCTGATTTGTGTGATATAAAATGCAATATTAGAAACAGTATTTATATGTCACTCATACTGTAGGGAAAGACTCCAGCCAGCTATAGCAAGTCAACAAGCCCATTGCCAAACTATAAATGGAATAGCTGAAAAGTATTAAAAGTGTGTTTCCAATAAAACAATTGCACACAAGACATTTTAATGAATGTCTTTGATAACTTTATCAGTTATTAATGTGATTCAGGTTTTCTTGTCTACTCTTATAACTAAAATGAAAACTAAAATTAAAAGAAAACAATGGTCTATTATGACTACCATTAGGTTTGCTTATTCTGTTATTTTATGGTTACAATATACCTGGTATTAACACCTTGTTTGCCAAAATTATATGCTGATGACTAAAATTTTGTTGTATTTGTCACTATTGTTCACAATTTTGCATGTGTACGTGTAGGTGGTAAAATATTAAGATTGTAAAATTATGTACATTTGAAATGTATATAGTAATTTTATAATTGTACATAGTCGCAATGTGATGGTTGTATCATGTGTTAGATTCTAAAACAAAATTATTGCGAACAATTTCAATAATATGGTTGATGGAATATGTTTATTGGGTATCATGAGAGATTATACAATTATAATACATCTGAAATACAAATATATGTTGGGAACACAAAACAAAATGAGTTGAAATGTTCAAAATACGAATACAAGGAAGTATCAAAACGATTCAATGCCTGGTTATACCATGTGCTAAATAATTATATTTTTATATTGTCAAGTCATGGTATCATCGGGTCCTAGCGTATAGTATCATCGGGTCCTATCGTACTGTATCATCGGGTCCTATCGTACAGTTTCATGGCTAAGCAAGAGGCTTGGATAAAAGTGAAACAAATAAATAATTATCCAATAAAGCATTACCATTACAGAGTGAGAAAGTTCAGGTTGTCCAGTGAGTATAGCTTTAAATAATGTGAGTCAACAACTGACTATTAAGAGAAATCACCATTGATTATGGTTTTCCCCAGTTTCAAAATTAGGAGAAACAATTTTTTTGATCTGAAAGTGTTATACAGTCAAGACGCCAAAAACATGCAAAATTCCGAATGAGATAAAATAAAAAAAATGATAAAATTATATTTTAACCAAAACCTGATAAAAAAAGAATCATATGATAGTGTGTAATTGATCGACGAAATGATTTTAGTATATTCCCTCGATTTTCCTTATCTAGCAATATCTAAACCAATGCTGTTTTCACACTATTTCCCGAAAATGTGGCAGTCACTATTTGTTTTATTATATACCTCATATGTACTCTGTAAACAAAAAATAAAATCAAAAGAGTTTTAATTTCAACATTTAATGCTTATAGGTTCTTATTGGCATTTAAAGGCATTTGTCATTCCTATAAATCACATCTAGCAGGGAAGATAATATGTACTAATGACTTGTCACATGAACTTACTGGTGATTGGTACATTTTATCTTCACCATTAGCTGGGATTTAGGACTTTCCAGGGATTTAGTTCATCTATTTCATATCATGTGAACACGAATAAGCCAATGAGCATCTAGAATACATATGGGGTATATAATAATATCAGATGTTTCAATGGTAAATATGACTTATGGGGACAATTGAACTGATTTTGTATCTGAATTTAACGTTACACTATTTTTCATAACAAAATATCTTTCTGTCTTCATCTAGAAATATGCCTTCTAGAAAAAAGGTAATAGAAGGCTATGTGATACAATGCAATACATCTGACATGATTCGGGCAAGCAGGTTCTTTAACTACAAATCGAATAGGTTTGCATGGTGACAAGCCTTGTACCACCATGCTTCTTTATAGGTCATCGCACAATTTAATAGATCACTCTGGTCATTATCTTGATCATAGGTTTAACAAGACACAGTGAAAATGCAAGAGCAAAATGGTAACTGTGTACTTTACCCAGCATGCCTAAAAAGCTGGTCAGATCCTGGCACTAGTCTGCTCTTGCATCTGTAAAAATTTCAGGTTGAACAGGTTAAAGGTTTTCCTGGGATTTTGATAACAAGTATTGATTCGTAGTTTCTAACTTTGAGAAACTTAGATACTAGAATAGTTCGATCGTTTGTGCCCCAAAAGGTCAAATTCCTGCAAATTAATTTGATGCATGTAAGTACATTTATCAAATAGACCTATAGCTGTTTTTGAAATATGTCTAAGGAGTAATTGCTAACAATAGTACAATAACGTCATTTCAAAGGGCAATATTGAACGGGCAAGTGGAATATCACTTGTGAAAGATGTACAGGTATTCACCTCAATAGAGTGAAATATTTGTTCAATATCCCACGCTCCCGGGAATTTTCAAAGAATTTGTTTTCGTTCAGTGTAAATAATTTAGTTCAGCGTAAGTCAAAATTGCAGACGAACCGAGTAGATTCGTAAAAATATCTGAAGACTTAATGACTTAATAATATTAGGAATGTTTAGCTAGACAGTGATTTAATAAAACAAATATTTCACTCTATTTTCGGTGAATACCTGTAGCACCTTCACAAGGTGATATTCCACTTGCCCTTCGGGCTTCGTGGAATATCACTTGTGAAAGATGTACAGGTATTCACCTCAATAGAGTGAAATATTTGTTCAATATTGGACCAAGGGCCGCAGGCCCAAGGTCCAATATTTCACTATTTTGCCTGCAGAAATGACGTTATTACTATTATTACCACCGTTAATGCCCAGGGCTGAAATAGCAAATGTGAAATAGAAAATCTTACGCACTGAACGATATCACTTTTTCCGGGAAACATAGCCGGGCGGTTAATGTCATTATTGCCCGACTAAAGTCATTAACCCCGACACAATATTGCTCACGTCAATATAGCAATTTAAATGCCTTCTCAACTAGTACTAAAACCCCTAGAACAGGCCCTGTAAGGTGGTTATAATTGTTATTCAGTAATTTATTTCACAAAATAATGAACAGAATATTTGAGTAGAATTTAACAGCAATGTATCTTCAATGACGCCTTCTTAAATGAGTAGTGCTGATTATTAGGGGATGCAATTTTTGTTGGCCAATGACCCCATGCGACACATTGGGCATAACTTGGGCAAACCGGTCCTTTCACGTACAAACCAAATAGGTTAGAATTGTGGCAACTCTTGTACCACCACGCTCCTTTAAAGGTGCTTGCACAATTTCCACTGGACATATCATTATCCTGATCGTATGTCGTAAACTGTTGTCCATTATGGTACGTCATTGAATCACCAGCTGTCCCACTGTATCCTTCAATGGTAAGACGGTACTTGTCGGTCTTGTCAGTGATGGAGAAATCTGAATATTCAGCAAATCGTTTAGCCGGTGATACAGAGGGCCATGCTTCCAAATCAATTCGCACTTTGCACTTACGGCCCTTTACAAAACTGGCAAGGTTATCCAATCCAATGAAATGTTCACCTTCTGTTTTACCAAAGCCATGTTGATACTCAACCCAAGTGCGATAGAAATCCTCTGAGCCGTCAAATCGTTTGAATGCGTAAGTCCAACCCTGGTCACAATATGCGTTGAATATTTTCCCTTCACGTGTTTTGATGTTTATTACACCAGTGAATGAGGGATCAACGCAACAATCGGTCAAATATTTAGCTGCAAAACATCAATCATAGTGTAAATCAGAAGTTTAGTTGGGCTGACCTTAACGAAGAAATTTACGGACTTTATCATTGAGAACTTAATCAGAGTCGTGGCGTCCTAACTGCGCTGCCTCGGCGACGAAATATGGTCTCGAGTATGGTTTGCCAACCTACCTTATGTATGCACGTGTTGTTTACGGGTGTGTAGGCGTTAATTACGCCCGTGTAGATGTGAAATTACGCCCGTGCAGACGTAATTTACGCCCGTGTAAGCGTTAATTACGCCTGTGTAGGCGTTAATTACGCCCGTTAAGAAGTGAATTCTATACGCGTTAAATCAAATACAGGCGTAAAGTAACGGCGTTAAAATGTTCAATAGCGGGCGTCAAGACATTATCTAACACCCGTTGAAAAACATCTATACGCCCGTCGAGTTCATTTTAGCGCCGTGAATTATGAACCAATCAGCATCTTGCTTACATAATGATACAATGCATTCTAGCTAAAAGTACAACTCCAAGATCCTTGTGCAAGTTAATAACATACTCATGATAGTGCCAGGAACAACTGTAGCAATTGAAGGCATATGAAATATTATTTCTTTTCTGGGTATATCGGTGCACTATTTGTGCAAATGTGAAAGATGTACATCATATATTAAATGGGTTATGTATCCATGGAAATAACATGTGACTATAAAGACGGCTGCATAAAGATTCCAAAAAGTACACATCTCCCTTACACCAAATTTGAACATATGTTGGCTAGGTACTATGGCGGATCCGGGGGGGGGCCCTAAGGTTGGCCCAGAAAAAAAAAAGTTGGGCCCAAAAAAAATTTTAGGCCAAAAAAGGCCTTACGGCCCCAAAAAGTGGGCCTTTTGGTCATTATTGGGCCTTCTAAGGCCTTATTTTTTTAATTTTAGGCCAAATTTTGAAGAAAATGGGCCTCAATTTTTCAAAATTTGGGCCCACTTTTCGGTTATAGGGGCCCAAAATTTTTTTCCGCGCAAGCGCGGAGGTTTTTTCTCGAACCTCTAATTTGGGCCCCCCCCCTTGTTGGTTCCTGGATCCGCCACTGAGGTATACTAGGTATGTAGGGCGGCTCATCTGACATTTTCAGTACATTTTCAAAGAATGCCAGATCTGCATGATATAGCTTTAGTCTAGAGTCAATTTGCAGTTGATCAGATACTATAATTCTAGTATCTTGTCTGAACACATCCTTTAGAGGGATACATTAGCGATCTGACTGTATAGTGAGACTGTAAGCTGCATGGCGTGTGAGGTTAATAAATCCCTACCTCTGAAGCCGACGCCTAGATTGGAGAATTATCAAAAAAAATCATCGTATATAGGAACCAAACATGTATACCTTCTTAAAATATACTTCAATTTTGTCGTTTCTACAATGGGTGTTGATAACTGCCAACACAGTACAAGTGTACATGTCTCTTCAATTTGCCTTTTAATTTGCTCTAAAAATTGAATACTTCTTTGGTTAAATCTAACAATCTTGAACGAATATTAAGGACCTCAATGCAACACACTAGAATGTAAGCAGGCTTCTGATTGTTATTTACTTGCTCAAGGATCTTGGAGTTGCTCTTTAAGCAAGGATGCATTAAATCATTATGTAAGTAAGGTTCTGATTAGTTCATAATTTACGGCGCTTAAAATAAACTTGACGGGCGTGAAGATGTTTCTCAGCGCATGTAAAATAACGGTCTTAACGCCCGTAATTAATCATTTTAACGCCGAAGTTCACGCCTGTAAATGTTATCTGAATGCCCGTAAAATGTACTTCTTCACGGGCGTAATTTACGCCTACACAGGCGTAATTTTTCGTATGAACGGGCGTAATTTTACATCTGCACGAGCGTAATTAATGCCTACACACCCGTAAACAATGCGTGCATACATTGGGCGTGTAAGACAACCATATCCGAGCACGTCAAGATCGCCATAAGCGTGGAGATAAAAGTGCGATGGAAACGCTATCTCATGCTGTGGTCTCCATTATCGCCAAGATCGTCGAGCCACGACGTTTGTTTGCTTTGAACATGCTCAAAACAAAGGCCAATTTTTTGCGATCTGACCTGGAACGCTGTGATAATGTGGTTGGGTGGGAGGGGGCGCGGGGGGGGGGGCGTGTGGGTCGCGAATGTTGTGAGACAACATCGCCATGAACGTAGTACACGCGGTACGTGGCAAAGACGTTGCAAAAATTGTAACATTTGCAACGGCGACTCCATGGCCACAACGGCCCTCGCGGTCAGTTACGAGCCGACCAACGTGGCGTTCAGATCTCTATAGAAACGCCATAAGCGCGGTCGTGACGCACGCGCCCTGGGAACATGTTTGTAATTTTGGGACATTTCTCGTTTTGTGTGAACGTTTGCCGGTTACCTCGTACATTTTCTGGACGCCATATGGTCGCAACAGTGCAGCAAGGACGTCACCACGGTCTGACGGGGCCTTCAGAAATGATATACTAGTAAAGCCCTTTTATTTTATTTTTTTATCAATTAATTCAACTGCTATATGAACTAACCAAGGAAATGACAAAAATAGAGTGGTTGCTATTCATTGGACATATTAGAATATATTGATATGTTGTTCCTAATTCTCATAAATGAGCATTCATCAATAAGATCAGAGGGCAGTTGATTTTGTACTTTTATTCAGCATAGGCACCTGATTAAAAGTTTGAAACAATATAACAGTTCAAATTTTTCAGTTATTCAATCGTCTAATTCTATCCTTAGAGAAACTACCTGTATATACAGTATCCCTTGCTTACCTTCACAATCACATGACATCGTACACTTCATCTGTTCATTACTGTTGCATGTCGCTGAATTAACATGGCCACAGACTGCAGATATACAGCAAAAACAAATAAATGTCTATCAAACATTATTTCATTTCCAAACTCGGAGAGCATAGCAAAACAAGACTATATTCTTTAACTGAGCCAAACTATAATCTACAGCTTAACTTATGAGAAGAGAAACGATTAAAAAATCAATTAGAATGTCATTTTTTACGGTCGCCATATTTACCTTGTGAGTGACCAACCATGAAGACAGGGATCGATCCAAACAGCAATGTCAAAAGATGCATCTTTCTAAACTCTCCTGTATGAGTTGTCATCAATGTTTGAATTCAACTGCCCGTCTGATTTGAAATGATAAGTTCTAACTGCATAAATGACAATGATGCGTTTCAGAGCTTTACGAATAGAAAGTCACGTAGTCTAGCATCACATCACTGTTCCATTCTACAGGTTGGGTCAAAAAACGCGTTTTCTTCTCTTTCCTAAAAACACGTATTATAATGACCCCGGGATGATAAAGATATCAATCCTTCGATAATTTATAAAATATTTTCAAAACATTACCACAATATACCATCGATTTCACCCTAATTATGGTTAATAACCGTTATTTGATATTTCCAAGACTAAACATCCAAAACCATTTTCCATTTGAAGATGTTCTATATACAGGGTGGTCATAAAATGGAAACCCTTACATCATTTTCCTCATATCTTTGTCATTCTATGAAATAACTACCTGTTATTTTGCCCATTTGTACATCATTTAATTTTCTACCAGCCTGTAATATTTCACGAGCAACAGATTGATAGTCACAATGTTATAGCAATTTAGAGAACATGCCCCAGTGGCCAATATTGCGCTCGAGGCAAACCTATACACGTAGTCCAAAATGTCCCTACCTGTGGAGATACGACAAAAATAGAGTGAACGAAAATAACCCCAGGACAATTGCAAACCTAAAAAGTGAGATCATCAGGCCACACCTGCTGAGGAATGCATTCGGGTCATTGACAACTGTGCAGGTTTGACTACAGCGCGATTATGCTTAAACCTGAAGCATGTTGTTCAAAGTGCTCTAAAATTGTGACTATCAGTCTGATGGTCATGAAAAATGATAGGTAGGTAGGAAAGTGAACTTTGTACAAATGTGTGAAATATCAGGGAGTAATTTCTTAAAAGTGACAAAGATATGAGGAAAATGCCGGGTTTCCATTTTTGACCACCCTGTACATCTCGTCGTACAATCTTTTCGTGCAATACAAATGGAAAAATGAAAACGGTCCTAATTAAGGCCAGATATTACTTTTGATTATGAATGTCTGATATAAAACGCTTTGCCACACTAAACGTAATTCTTTGTATTCCGGAAAATAATAAAAATAGTTTGAGTTTAGCTGTTCTCACGCCGTAAATTCTTGTTTTTTTAGAGAAACACTATATATACAATATTTCCAATGAATACTTTTGGTATGTGGCAATGCACTGATACATCTTCTTATGGTTATTTAGTGCCAACCCTATTAATTGATGTTAGACAATTATAATAAATAAGTATAAAAAAGAAAAATGAGTTTTTGGCCCAGCTTGTATTTGGATGCTTATGAACGCTATTGACTTCGTACGTTAAATTAACACTCTAGCTTGAATGATATCGTATTGACGTGTCGCAAAAAGCTCGCGCACGCACTGTTACACATTTTGTGGCGTAATCCAGAGGATCCTCGCTTTTAACATGATAGAATGTGACGTTTTTGAGAAAAATGTACACACATGAAAATCCTTTCGTCCTCCACATTTACCTCTATATCTCAAAACATTTTAGACGAATAACTCTGATATCATATATATATTGTTAATGGGCTAGGAGCATCATAAAACACGAATCAATTGATATTTTAGGTGAAATAAATATACGTGTTGCTGTGCTTGAAAATAGGCGAATGGCGTAAATGAGCCCTATTTTAATGAATTTTGAAAACCTTTCGTCCTCCACTTTTCCACTTACAACAGAAAACACATACTTTTGTGAACAAAATCAACTATTTATTAATAAACTAGAGTTTAGGAGCAAAATAATCATGTATGATGTATTAAAAATTTATCTCGTATTTTTTGTTTAATGTACACCTGAAAAGTTGAAGGTACCAAAAAATGAGCAAAAAAGGTCGCTGTCAACAGATTCTATTTTTCAGACTCTATGACGTCACAATATGAGACGCTTACTAAAATTCATCCTTTGAAATAAAACTTCCATCTACCTTTATCAAGACGAAAAATAATAAGTATAATAGTCATAAATTGTTTGAGTTATGAGCGTTTAAAGACGAAAAATAATTCAAAATGTAACGTGTCAACATGGGATATTTGCCAGATGTTTTGGTAAAAAACTCTTTTTTAAAAACGAACGCGCAAAAAATGTGAACGGAGTGTAGTTGATCTAAAATCTTCATCGAAACAGCTTTAAAATGATATATAACTTTAATTAGAATATTATCTTATAATCCGGGGAATCAAAGTTACATTCACGCGATACCCTTAAAAAACAAATGCGCCACCTTTTTGCGACACGTCATTATATTCATTTTTATTGCTCGTTTTTTAATGCAATATAAACACGCGGTAGTATCTCTTCGGGACGTATCGAAACCACTCCGTCCCGAAAAACCGTTAATTTGAATTTAAAACCTACCCCAGTGTTTTAAAATCAAGGATTGTGAGTCTCACACTTCACCGTTTTTCTTCAAACTTGTTCTGTACAAAGCTTCACAGAAATACCTTTCGGTCGATACATTGTTTTCATGTACAAAGTACCTCGTTTTAGCGCCGTTTTGGTCCCCAGCTGCGAGATAAAGCAAATTTTCATAACTTTCAACTGTAAGTCAAGTTATCTCGCCAGTCTTTTACCCATTCTCGCTCATAATTTCAGAATGGACTCCCATTACAACCTTCCATCGCTACGTTTTGATTTTTGGGCATCAAACGCAGCAGTTTCTAAATCATCCACACATCTCTTAAAATTTGACTAATACGTCCCGTCACCTTCCACTACGCCCCGCCGAGTCTATGACTACAAACGTGGAGTTGTATTCTAAAACATTTTGTTCATCGTTGTGTAATTTTACATAGGTTTGCCTTGGTCGATTTTGAAATATCAGATGAATTTATATTTTTTCATGGGGAGGCGGTAATAGAATCTGAAGCAGGTCCTTTACCGGGATAATAGTTTCAATAATGCAGTAGCAGATTTCGTGTAATTGGTGACAAAATATACTTTTACACGATATTGTCCCCTCCATAAGTTTGGCAACCTTAGCTCCCCATTGAACTACGTGTTAAAGCCTATTTATGTTTGAATTTTTATCTATACATAACCTGCGGGGGAAATACTTACAAAATTGACGGAAACATAACTTGACTTTATTCCCAATACCTCCACATTTTCTTGATGTTTTTCCTCAATTACAATAGATCGGAAATGGATGATAAATCTGATGAATTTTTGAAAATCGACATTCCCATGTAAACCCATGAGAATTGATATGTTTGTCGCATGTCATACGACAGAATATCCATCAATCTGAGTACTAGCAAAAAGTACAAGTTAGGTACAGTAGACAGCTGAATTTGCTATCTTTATTTAACAAAAAGTTGATACGTTTCTTCAGGTTCAACAAAGTTATAGGTTAGGGTTGTCCAAATCTGCAAAATTTTCCAAAAATCTGTCATCCGATAGATTCTAGTTACAAATTGACTCTTGGTACAAATATTTCCACTCTAGACCCCTGGGAAATTTTGCCACGCGTCTCACTTGAAGTTTTGGTAATTTTGACAAATATGCCGTTTTCATAAATGGTTTATAACTCAAAATTAAACTGTTGTATTTCAGGAATATGTATTTTTTCTTCATCATGTATGATTTTCAATAACCCTACAGGAACCACTTTTTTTAGCTAAATCCATCGGGAAACTTTGCCACGCTTAATTTCAAAATAACGGAGATGTTATCAAAATTGAGCAATATTGGCACAAACACGTTTCTAGATTCATATAAAGAATGCATCATCATACAACACTAATTGTTGGTATATAAACAACATCTACTGACTTGGTCTGATAATGTTATATAAAGATTTTAACTGTTGTGTGTCAACCTTTCTTCTGTATGATTCCATTGGATTACATTATGAAACGTGTACCATATAAAATGATACATGTTTCTAACGTTATGCTGAAAATAATATAATTGACATCACCCATCCTTTCGCATTTTAACATTTTTTCAAGGATAGGGCACTTGATGTTACGCGGTATATGGCATACATTCATTGTTGCGCGGTATTTGTGATACGGGTGAATATGCCATACTCACCTGCGGTATATGGCATATTCCGCAGGCGAGTATGCGATATTCCGCAGTGAATATGCGATATATTGATTTCAGTGAATACCCGATACTCACCTGCCGAATATGTCATACTCACTTGCGGAATATGCCATATACCGCAGGTGAATATGACATATACCGCAGGTGAAAACGTGATACAGAAAGCCTTGATTTGATTGGTTGCGAGAATCGACTCTAAATGTAAAACTACGCTGGATTACCAATATAGTTAGTGCGTCGAGTACTAATATATGAATCCTGGTTTGATTGAGAAAGTTTATTACGCGAGATTGGTGACTGATACTTCTGCTAAGTTAATATATGCGATAAACAGTACTGTTGATTCAGTAATCATTATGATAATTTATAACGTTTTACTTGTTCGTTCAATCGATGTAATTGATAATTGCGTACTTCCGTATCGCGTTCTCATTGGTTAGTGTGTATGCCATATACCGCAGGTGAATCTGTCATACACCGCAAGTGAATATGCCATATTCGTTGCGGAATATGACATATTTTTGTATCGTGTTTACCGCATAAAACTTGAAACGTTTCTTAAAAATATTTTCAATTGTTCAGTAATTAAAATCTTTATATTGCAAATGCAATATCGGGAAATCTAAATTTTAGGGAGATTTTGGACCACCCTATTATAGGTATATTGAAAATGGACAAGAATGGGTAAATCTTAAAACACAATCCGATTGGTATTTACTATTTAGAATCGACAATGGCAACCTACAAACGGACACATCGATGGACAAATTGTTTTAGAATGCAACTCTACGTGTATAGTGATAGACTCGGCGGGGCGTAGTGGAAGATGACGGGACGTATTGGTCAAATTTGAAGAGATGTGTGGATGGTTTAGAAACTGCTGCGTTTGATGCCCAAAA